TTATATTGGCCCCTTTAATCTTTGGTTATACTTTCCTTTTGGGTGTTTAAGGACACAGAGTTGCCCAGGTAAACCAATTTATTTTTATTCTTAAGGTCATTTGGGGATCTGTTCCTCAGGGGTCACATTGGCTTGGGAGGAGCCCCTGGCTCCTCTCTTTTATCAGTTCTGCCTATGTGAAGATAAGTCAAAGGTCCAGCTTGACCACAGTTGGCTTCGCTTGGAAGCATAGAGGAAATGATTCCTATGTGTTGACCCTCCTCTATGTAGACTGGACACTGATTTCAAGTCCATCTGGTGGGGTCTCCTCGGCCTCCTTGATCAAGGGGGCAGATGACCCATCACCATTACAGGACATTTTGAGAGATGCTCATAATCCCCTGGAACTAGTCGACCTAGGAGGGCAAGGAGCAAAAACCGTCCTTTATGTCACTCTGACCAAATTAGTATAGGCCTCAAAGCATGTCTGTTAAACATCCAAGAAGGTTAGTTCCCCCAGTCTGGTACTTTTAATTACTGTGTGTCATGTAGATAAATCATGGGCAAAGACCAATTGTTCTCAGATAAACCTTACCTAGACATATATTTCTTGATCTGCTATGCATAATTTGTCAGGAGGTTGTTGGACTAATATGGTCCCCTCTGGTTTTTAAAACAAGCTAGGCATTATTTATCTGTCGCATTGTCTCACCCCTCCATCATGGCTTCCTCAATTAAGGTGCCCCCATTTCTCCCCTTTCTCCCTTACTAATGCCCTTCTATGGTCCTACCTCTCTTGAGCACTTTCTTTCCTTTTATCCCCTAGGTTCCTTGTATACCCTTCCCTCCACCCTCCCATAAACTAACCCAATTTTTATCCATATCTCCCTTATGAAGGCCTGTTTCCTACCGTTCTTTTCTTTCAGGTTCTTTTTTTTTTCCTTTACCTCCCTGGTTCCTTTCCATTATCCAGGTTCCTGTAGTTATATCTGGATACATACTCACTTATCAGGGTTTGATTCTAGGATCCACATATGAGGGAGTCTGTGTTACTTCACTTAGTATAAAGTTTCTAGTTCCATCCATTTACCTGCAAATTTCATGATTTCATTTTTCCTTACTGCTCAATAGAACTCCATTGTGTAAATATGCCACATTTTTGTTAACCACTTGTCAGTTGAGGGACACTTAGGTTTCCTCCATGTCTTAGCAACTGTGAAAAGAGCAGCAACAAACATGGTTGTACAAGTGTCTCTACAATAGGAAGAGTCCTTTGGGTATATGACAAGGAGTGGTATAACTGGGTCAAATGGTAGGTTCATTTTTAGTTTTTCTTAGGCAGTCTGACTGGGGTAAGGTGAAATCTTAAAGTGGTTTTAATTTGCATTTCCCTAATTGTTAGTGATGTTGAACATCTTTTAAGATGTTTCATAGCCATCTTTACTTCTTCTTTTGAGAACTCTCTGTTCAGCTCCTTAGCCCATCTTTTAATTGGGTTGCTTCTTGTCTTGATTTTCTGTTTTTTGAGTTTGTTATATATTCTGGATAGTAAACCTCTGGCAGATGTGTCGCTGGAGAAAATTTTCTCCTGTTCTGTGGGTTTTCTGTTCATTTCCCTGGTTGCCTCCTTTGATGTACAGAAGCTTTTTAGTTTAATGAGGTCCCATTTGTTAATTCTTGACCTTATTTCCTGAGCAATTGATGTCTGGTTTAGAAAATCCTTTCCTATACTTGTATCTTGTAGGTGTTTCCCAATGTTTCTTCTAACAGTTTCAGAGTTTCAGGCTTTACATTGAGGTCTTTGATCCATTTGGGATTGACTTTTGTTCAGGGGAAAGATAGGGGATTAGTTTCCTTCTTCTACAGGTGGAGATCCAGTTTTGCCAGCACCATTTGCTGAACATGCTATCTTTCCTCCAGTGAATATTCCTGGCCCCTTTGTCAAATATCAGGGGGGCTGAAATTGCATTTACTCATATTGGGTCTTCAATTTTGTTCCATTGATCCTAAGGACTGTTTTTGTGCAAGTACCATGTTCTTTTGTGACTATAGCTTTGTAATACAGCTTAAAATCTGGTATATTAATCCCCCCGCATTGCTCTTAGTGCTCAGGGTCACTTTCGCTATCTGAGGTCTCCTGTGCTTCCATATAAATTTTAGGATGTTTTTTTCCAATTCTGTGAAAAATGTCATGGGGATTTTGATTGGCATTGCATTGAATCTATAAGTGGCTTTTGGTAGGATGGTGATTTTCACAATATTTATTCTTCCAGTCCATGAGCATTGGATGGTCCTTCCATCTTCTGATGTCTTCCTCAATCTCTTTCTTTAAGGATTTAAATTTTTCATTGTAGAGGTCTTTAATGTCTTTGGTCAGGTTTATCCCCAGATATTTTTTTTGCAGCTATTGTGAAAAATTTAAATCCTTAAAGAAAGAGATTGAGGAAGACATCAATTTCTTTCTTACTTTTGTAGGTTAATTTTTTAACCAGCCACTTTACTGAACATGTTAATAATCTCCAGTAGTTTTCTGGTGAAAATTTTGGCATCTTTTAGATATAATATCATATCATCTTCAAAAATGGATAATTTGATCTTTTCAATTCCAATTATTACTCCTTTAATTTCCTGCTCTTGTCTTATTGCTCTTGCAAGAGCTTCAAGCACTGTGTTAAAGAGAAATGGAGATAGTGGACAGCCTTGTCTGTTCCTGATTTCAATGGGAGCTTCCAGTTTTTCTCCATTTAGAATGACGTTGGCTGTGGGTTTGTTATACATGGCTTTAATTATGTTGAGGTATGTTCCCTCCAGTCCAATACCCTCTAGGACTTTGAACATAAATGCATATTCAATTTTGTCAAAGGCCTTCTCTGCATCTACTGAGATGACCATGTGGTTCTTGTCTTTGTTGAGGTTATGTTCCCTCCAGTCCAATTCCCTGTAGGACTTTGAACATAAATGCAGATTGAATTTTGTCAAAGGCCTTCTCTGCATCTATTGAGATGACCATGTGGTTCTTGTCGTTGAGCCCATTTATGTGATTTATGATGTTTATTGACTTGCGTATATTGAACCATCCCTGCATCTCTGGAATAAAGCCAGCTTGATC